GCAGCTGGCAGCAAGTACTATCTTCAGTATTTATCATGCTGATAATTTCTCAGCTTGATTAGGATCAAAAATTAACTAGTACCTGAGGAAAGTTATTTATGCAGACAACACTGAGACTTTACACTTCAAGACTGTAGATTAGTCATGCTCAGATGACAGCGCTATCTAGTGCTGGCAATCTGCAGGTAGATGATGCAATCTTAAAGGTGACCTACAGAAACAAAGCATGCTTCCTCTGGGTTGTACTGAAGCGGCTACAGTAATAAGACTGGAGTATTCCAGTTGATAAAAACCTAGCCCTTGGCTTGCAAGGGAGCAAGTTAATTATGCTGCAGAAGCTCCTGAGATGCAGAGTTTTACGTAGGTGACCTACATCTAACAAGCAGAATCCTTGAATTCCACACCACCACAGCAGTCAACTCATGTCTCCAAGTCTCTGGGGGCAGGGGGGGAAATCTTATCACTAGGACAGGTAAAGCCATCCTAGCCCAGCAGCAGGGGGTTTCTGCAAGCAGAAGTGAGGAGACTACAAGGGAGCAGCTATGAATCCAGTACCAGGTCTGAGCTAAGCTGACACTATGGTTTGTTACCACAAGTTAAGCTAAGCTCCTGGGACACGAGGCTGAACGTAGTGGCATGCTACTTCTGTAAGCTGCTTCACTAACCTGTGCTGGATGGGCAGGCTCTGGTTACAGGCCAGCCAAGCTGGCTTGTTCCTACCAGCTCAATGCGGTGCATGGTAACACTTGTCCAAATTCTGCGGGTTTAGATGCACCTTCCCCAATGGATAACACAAAAGTTTCTCATTAGATTCCACAATACAAGTTCAGAAGCTGCCATTTTGCCCAACAGTACAAGCCACAACCAAAACTGCAAGGTTTTTCAGCAGACATTGTGTACGACTCCTCCCTTCCAGGCATACTCACCAGATACCCCTGGCATCAGGCCAGTCTCGTGCCATCCCAGATGCCAACAGAAGAGGAGAAACTGGCTTGTCAAACAAGAAGTGATCATCAATCAGCTGCTGCTGCTCTGCATCAGTCATGTTCCTCAGAGCATAGTACTTCCCCTTGAGATCACCTTTCAGACTACCCAGAGCTGAAAGAGAAAGTCACTTTAAGGATGGGACCAAAGATGTTAGACATTCCCAGCACTTGAGAGACCACACATGGAGTATGGCAATGTCTGATCTGCTGGGTTTGGTTCCTCCCTTGCTTTCATCTGCAATGGCAATGCCTTTGTGGCATTACAGAACTTAAGGCAGTATCAGATGATCTGTCTGCACCTTCCAGGCTTATACAAGTAGCCTTTGTTCCCTTGCATGCAGTATAGATTCATTACTGCTGCTTAACTGTAGAAGTAGAGTGCCTTCTTCCAAGGATAATCAAGGTCGTGCATATAACAAACAGCATTATTCTAGTCAAGGACTGTCACCCTGCCCTTGACGGGTTTTGGAACAACTGAACTCTCAGTCTCCAGAACCGCACCTTGAGTGTATCCTTTCCTCTCAGTGGAGTTGGGAGGCAACAGAAAAAACCTGCAGCTGAGGAGTTCACTGAAAACTAGGGCTTACTCTAGTCACCTGCACATGTAGAGCAAGACTACACCTCTAAGCAAGCTGAACATTAATGAAAGTCAATTAAAAGCAGCCACAAAACCCTGCAACCATGACTCAAGCCCTGAAGTTGCTAAATACCTGTTACATTTCAGGTTTGAGCCATGATGAACCAACCTCTTTCCCCACGCACATAGAAAGAAGCTTTCAAGATCAACAAAGGTCAACTTAAAGCCGTCCAACTTCCCTCTGACAGTGCTCTTGCTCTCAGCTACAAACTGCAATGCTGAGGCAGCTGTAATGTAATGAGCCATTTTCAGGGAAGGTTCCATGTTCAGATTAAGTCTTGAGGGAGGTGGTTTTTGCCAACTGCCTTCATTTTCAAACTGCAAAGAACACCTCTTGTATAAAGGACATCAGTTGCTTTCCCAATGTACCCAGTTCTCACTTTACCTTCAACAGAGAGCTTCTCAATAGCCCGCCTCTCTCCTCGACTACAGTGCGGGGGAAGACAGAATCCACGGATGCTTCTACCAGTTCTGACACGGGAACTTAGCACGTAATTGGGATCCAGGTCATCACCTCCCTACAAGGTTAGGAAACCAGTGAGTACAACCCTGTTGCCAAGATACCCTCAATACATGTAGCTCCCATGCACTTAAGTGTGCACCTTGTACCTGAGATATTGAACACTTGGCCTGTAAGCCAGTGTCTTACTTCAGGACTATTTTCTTCAGCATTACCTCAAGTATCTGTGTAACACAACTCTAGTTTTGACAGCTACAAGACTACAGCTGCTAAGTAGTGCTAGAAGACAGGAATACCACCAGAACATCAGTTTTATGTCCATTTCACACTACAGTCTGGGCTTGTTAGCCCTTCAGAACTGCAGTCTGGAGGTATGAATACAAGGCACACTCTTGTTGTTTAGGTAGGTATATACTCTTGCAAATGAGAAATATTCCATCCAGTCACCTGAAGTCTCTTATTTTCAGGATGACCTATAGCTAGCCAATCAACATGGCATTAGGAATTCCTAGAGTCTACAGTAACATTTGAAATCCATAAAATGGGCAGAAATCCTTACTCCTAGCTGTAGCAATATCTATTCTATAATACAAGACCAGGTGATATTTATGATCTGAGATCAGGTAAAAAAGTGTTAAGTTTTATGACCGTCCTTGACTCCTAGGACACTGTTGTTTAGCTTGACTGCTACAGCCTACAGTTCATGGAACTACATCTGGAATGTGTTTGGCACAACCTGTGCTGCAGCAGCACATGAAGCAAGCTCCTGCTGCACCAGCTGCCTGGTTCTACTGAGCCACTGATATGCTACAGCAGCAAGCTCTTAAGTCTGATTGCACTGGACACTCAGCCTGTGGGTTTCTCTGGAAAGTGAGGGACGGGAGCTTGAACAATCAGTTTAGGCAGCTGGCAACAACTTTACCCAGTCCTCAGACCAGTAGGCATCAGTAATTGATCAAAAGTTTATACCTGCAGGTTATCAGCATTCAGGTCGGTCTTGTGCTCATCAGTTGGTTTGTAGCCACCATGCCTGTCTTCAATAACTGGATCAAAGAGTTCCTTAAACACATCATAGGATTCTTCATCACCAGCTACGCATCCTACTGTCATTATGAAGGGATGGCCTGGAGTGGTAATAAAGTCAGAAGAGCTAAGTTTGGGTGATGTTTGGCTGTACTCCAGCGCAGCACTAACCAGGCAAGTTCTTTAGTGGTAGGTCTAGTCACTTAGAAATGCATTCTTACATAAAAACTTTTGGAGAGACCCTACATTTTACACTTCATCCAGTCAGCAAAATGCAGTGCTATGGAAACTCATAGCTGCTGCCATTAAACCATGCTCATTTGTCAAGTTTGGTTTAGGACAAATTTGCACAGCACATCCAATTTCACTAGCTAATTTAGACTACCAGATAGAACTTTCGTCTAAACAATCATGCTTTGCTGTAAGCAAGCATGCTTCCCTTTTTGTTCCTTCTGCTACAGGCAGAGCTGCATTTCTGTAGTCTGCTCATAAATATCACCTCCACAAAATTAGTTTTAAGTCACCATATTCAACAAGCACCAGTTACTTCAGCTGGTTCACACAGAATATTCTCAACGCATTTTACCAGGATTATCAACCCCAGTCTGAATGACATCATCCAGGGTGAAGCCACTGGGCGTGACTCTGTCTCTCAGTTTCTTGTATAAATCCAGGGTTAGAACTTTGGCCATGTGGTTGTTGTGGGAGCTCAGGTCCGGATACTCCTCATCAGGAGGCAGTCTCTGATTATTTAGTTGGGCCATTTTGATATTGCTAGAGTAAAAATAAATACTGTAATGTTAACATGTAAACACGTCTGCTCCCCCTTTTTTCATAGAAGTGCTAGAGAACATCACATAACCAGTCTGGAATACGAATAGACCAGAACAGCCAGGTTAGCTGACATTTTCCCCCCCGCCCCAGTTGTGTTATAATTAGAATGCATTTTGGTTCTTTGGGTGGTTTCTTTTTTTTTTCCAGATTGAGAGTATTTAGCAGAGCAGTTACATAATTGAAGTGTCTGGGAATTGATATGTCAGATCACAGCAAGGAATATGGCTTGACAGAACAAGGCCTCTTCGCACATCCATGTGTTTAGAGCCACCTCTCAATGCTTTATGAGATTTGTTTCTCGGCAGCTCAAGAGCTTTGGGTGCCATTGTCAAGAAGCACTTCCAGTAAGGAGGGAGAACAGATCGTTATGCAGATCTAACGGTCCCCAGCCGTTACCTGGGTTGTCAACCCCAGTCTGGATGACATCATCCAGCGTAAATCCACTGGGAGTCTGCTTATCCCTCAACTTCTTGTACAGGTCCAGGGTCAGCACCTTGGCCATGTGATTGTTGTGAACGCTCAGATCAGGGAACTCGTCACCATCAGAATACTTCATCTTCAGGAGGTTGTGGCTGTTTGAGAAGGGCATGTCTGACCCTATCGTAGTCACTAGGGGAGAAAGAGGGGAAGCCTATCACTGGGGGCTCGGCAGGCCTCCGAACCACCCGGGGGAAAGCCAGGCACCCAGGCAAGGTCACCTTGGCTGTTGTTCAACCCGTGCATTTTACACCTTTGCCACTACACCACCTTCCACAAGAGACAGGAAGGAGTAAAGAAAAAAGTTCTTCACCTCCACCAACCTTGCCCCGTCCTTAAACATCCCTGCCGCAAGGGCAGGGGCTCTCCCCGCTCCGCCGGGGCTCCGCCCGGGTGCAGGGATGCGCCCAAGGTCGCACGGAGCGGCCGTGGCAGCGCCGGACAGAACCCGCGGGCGGCTCTGGGGCGGGGAGAGCGTGCGGGCCACCGCGGGGCTGGGAGAG